GCAATAATTACCGAGCACTAGCCTACAGACACAGTCAAATATAGCAATAATTACCGAGCACTACCCTACAGACACAGTTAAATATAGCAATAATTACCGAGCACTACCCTACAGACACAGTCAAATATAGCAATAATTACTCGAGCACTACCCTACAGACACAGTCAAATATAGCAATAATTACCGATCACAACCCTACAGACACAGTCAAATATAGCAATAATTACCGAGCACTACCCTACAGACACAGTCAAATATAGCAATAATTACCGAGCACTACCCTACAGACACAGTCAAATATAGCAATAATTACTCGAGCACTACCCTACAGACACAGTCAAATATAGCAATAATTACTCGATATCCAGAACTGCACCGAGCACTACCCTACAGACACAGTCAAATATAGCAATAATTACCGAGCACTACCCTACAGACACAGTCAAATATAGCAATAACTACCGAGCACAACCCTACAGACACAGTCAAATATAGCAATAATTACTCGATTACTCACAGTCGAGTTCATTAGGCAATGACTACTATTATACTCAATGTTCCTGCAGGGATATGGTAACTGAGAAAATAACCACATAATTGATGAGTGTTATCTCAGCCCAGCTGTATAGTTGTGAAATTCCCACGGCAGCTGCCATACCACCACTATGTTAGTGGAAATGACTAATAATGTGAGGAAATGTTGTAAAATTGTTATCCTATTCCTACCGTATGATTATTTTACATTTTACAATTAAGATGTCCTTATAAAGTTATAAGTCTTCGGCTTACTGCTTGTATTAATTGCGAATCACAATAGTTAGTAGAAAGTTCTACAAATAAGGTTCGCCGAACAGTTGGGTTTCCGTCAGTTTACGCTCATTTAATGTGTCTCTCTACAGTCGTTGTAGCAATATAATGCTTTTGGACACGAAGGGAAACACACAACGTAAGGCTTGAAATCTTCTTAAAACTACATCATTAGAGCCTGTAAAAACATTTAACTTTAGGATAAGCACTCTATCAAATAAAATTCATATATAATCATCATAGTTTATTAACTCATTGTAGCAAAGTTCAGTCAAGTTATAATAGTATAGTTGAGGGTATGGTGCACGGTTTACAAGGTTATTCTAGCAAAGTTCAGTCAAGTTATAATAATATAGTTGAGGGTATGGTGCACGGTTTACAAGGTTATTGTAGCAAAGTTCAGTCATGTTATAATAGTATAGTTGAGGGTATGGTGCAAGGTTTACAAGGTTATTGTAGCAAAGTTCAGTCAAGTTATAATAATATAGTTGAGGGTATGATGCACGGTTTACAAGGTTATTCTAGCAAAGTTCAATCAAGTTATAATAGTATAGTTGAGGGTATGTTGCACGGTTTACAAGGTTATTCTAGCAAAGTTCAGTCAAGTTATAATAGTATAGTTGAGGGTATGGTGCACGGTTTACAAGGTTATTCTAGCAAAGTTCAGTCAAGTTATAATAGTATAGTTGAGGGTATGGTGCACGGTTTACAAGGTTATTCTAGCAAAGTTCAGTCAAGTTATAATAATATAGTTGAGGGTATGGTGCACGGTTTACAAGGTTATTGTAGCAAAGTTCAGTCAAGTTATAATAATATAGTTGAGGGTATGGTGCACGGTTTACAAGGTTATTGTAGCAAAGTTCAGTCAAGTTATAATAGTATAGTTGAGGGTATGGTGCACGGTTTACAAGGTTATTCTAGCAAAGTTCAATCAAGTTATAATAGTATAGTTGAGGGTATGGTGCACAGTTTACAAGGTTATTGTAGCAAAGTTCAGTCAAGTTATAATAGTATAGTTGAGTATATGCTGCACGGTTTACAAGGTTATTTAAAGGGTATTTATAAATAAACGAATATCAATGACTGGTTCCCAAGAGCCTGCACTAAAAACGAAATACAACAAATTTACCAAACAATGAAGCGGGTCTTAATTAATCATGATTCATATAAACTGATCAGGTATGACTAATATAAAACCATGGCATTGAAAGAAGAAACCAAGTCTGAAAGGTCGCTAAACTGGTTACCATCACAGCTGAGCGCAACTCATTGTACCATGACCAAACCAGACTTTTCACCTTTTTAATTCAATAAAGGAATAAAAATGAATAAAATATTAAATATTTGTCAGTTGGATGGAGCTACAGTAACTGAAGACTCGGAGAAGCTGATCCATGAAGGTTGTCTGATTTTGGTTATACACTTGAAACTAATGATTTTGCGATTGTTTCAAACCGACAATCTTCATCAGATAATGATATTACTAAGCTGGCATGGTACATTTTAATAGTGGATTATAATTTATAACTGTTTTGAATACCCCTTAATATGGTTCTTTACCGATAGTTAAAATTCGACATCTAGCGCTTTAAAAAAATAGATGACGCTATCTAGCGTCATGTTGCATCAGATAGCGATATTGAAAGGGTGTCCGATAGTTAATCGTTGGGGGTATTGTCTCCCACATGTAATATGTTAACAAAACATGTGTGCGTTGCAAAAGCCTAAACATTAGCAGCAAACTGTATTTATAACTAAACTTTACTCTGAGAAACTATACGCACGGCACCAAAGAAATAAACCGAAAAAATTGTTGCTAATTCAATTTGAGTGTGATAAAAATTGATTACCTCACAGTTACACCTAGACATACACCTAGCCCAGACCTCAATTCCGATCCCAATCCGTAACCCTCACCCTATAAGTTATCCCTATCACTATCATAACCCTGTGTTGGAAATACATCAACGATGAGGTGCCTTGCAAGTGCACTCGCTACCACACACTACCCCTGCGTGCCAGGGCAAGTGTTCGTTTCAATAAACATGAAGTTTCCGCATGTGATTTAAGACAATGTAAGACATGGACTACCAAGATACTTGTACAATGTAATATTGTATTATGTACTATAAAAGCACTAGGCCACTAGCAGTCTTAAAGTTAAAGACTTATAAATCTACAAACTCACGACCCGTTTACTCGTTATGATAACAATTAAAAGAACGGAGATAAGTATAGCTCTCCCCCTATTATAACAGAACAGTGTGAAGCACAGAGCTACTTTCAGACTCCTGTTTGTACCCTATATCACCGCTTTCCCGCACGTGAGGGCTGAGGCTTTACCATATATATATATAATACCGCCTATAAAGGCAGTATGTGCATGGACAAAACATAAAGGGGTATTTAAAGTTTAAAAGATGCAGCACGGGTCTCCGACATACAATAGCTCGTTGGCAGAGAGGCAGAGAGAGAGAGAGAGAGAGAGAGAGAGATCTGGTCTGTACCTGAATGAGAAATATCCAGGCTGCACAGGCGGATCTGCTGATCCTTTCACTAACAGGGTGGCCATTATGCAAATAACGTAGCGTGATTACTGATTAGCGCCTTCATTATCTACAATGTCATAATATATTGGGTGTGTAAGATTGCTTGGGTTATTTATAACTTAAGATAATGTATTTGACCAGGAACTGTTATCTTGCTCCGTGCAGATAAGACTGGTTCTGGTGGGGTGAAAAAATCAAACTTATCACAATATAAGAATATAACCTCTAATTTAAACGACGCTGGAATAAAAGTGCTCTGAAACAGTTGACCTTGACACGTCCCTGCTAAACCAAGTGTCAATGAATAGATTCAATTTTAAAATGTAATTGTATATAAATATATATAAATAACATTTTAAACGTATCAATAGATTAAATATAAAACCGAATTAATGAATTAAATTTTTTTTTAACGGTTGCTTATAAAGTTAAAGATATTAAACGCGACTGTTATTATCTGCGTCATGAACCTAAAAAGCAAACTTTAATGTCATATATATTTTTAAAACAGAGCTATACTCTTGCAGAAATTGGAAGATCGCTATATCCATTATCGATAAAATGACGGTGTTTGTGGGTTCATTTCAGTATTACTACTAGTATATAGTACTAGGGCGGGTCTATTTAGCAACGTCATGTTACTATTACTATAAAGTATGTATGATCAGAGCACTTTTCCATTACTTAACTACCATACCAGACTATTTACTAAATGATGGTACTCCTTTGCTTTGGTAAAATGTGGTATATATATCAAGTACGTACGTTTATTGTGTAGATAATGCAAAAATATGGGAATGTCAACCAAGCTAATTAAAACGTTCGCACGTTCTAGCGATTCACTTTTGCTTTTAATCGGACCTTATATGGACGGACGTAATTTTGGACGGATATAATTATGGACGCACAAGTTTCTTTGAACGTATATCATGGTAGCCAGACTTTAATTTGGGCGGAAATTACGTGGGCGCTGAGCTCTGATCCTGTACTCATGTCCAAGTCCAACCAAAAAAGGCTTCGAAAATAACGTATATTTCATGAATCTAGGCCAAAGTAATCTGTAGTGGATACTTTCACTGGCTGGTCTCGTACATACTACATAGTCAAATCGAGCACACAAAATAATCACTAAAATCAACAAATGAAAATAGCACCATGAGTAACAATTACCAACCAAACCATCGAGTTAGTCGTGGTATGACACACTCCACACACAGACCACACAGACAACGAATAGTACGGTGAAGAATACCGTCCACCACCCGGAAATGAGGAGTAATTATACGGTCAGTAATTGCTCTTCATTAGTAATTGCAGTCATTAACGTTGAAATAAAGCTCCTACCGCAGGCATCTTTATACGAGCTCACAATATGCTGAATATCCTGCTATAATTTTAGGGATTGTATCAGCTACTGCTTCGCGTGATGTTTTTACTTTTACCCAGCGTATGCCCATAACATGCTCATATGCTCATATGTTACACAAGTTCTTATTATAGGAGACACCTTGATCATAATTTATATACTTCTTTCTGTTAATGCTTTATAGCTTTACTGGTACACTATTGTTTAAATCTGTCTCACAGAGTCAACGAAAGGTATGAATTTGCAAAATAAATATCTCATTGACAGTAACTGATCAGAGCATGACGATATCAAAAGAACAAGCACAATATTATAAAGCAGATCTGATATCCAGGGATGAAACCTACACAGATGTATAAAAGTATAAGTATTCATAGACCTACAATATTCAAGAGAAAGAAGGAAATGTATGATAATGGGAGCATGGGTGTAGGCTCTCGTGTATCTAAAGAACTACTTAAGGTATTATACTGCTAACATATCCGTGTAGCTGCTACGCTCATTATACAACAACAATGCTTCCTTTGTTTGTTATTGTAGAAAGTAGAAGATGAGAGTAATTATCAATTAAAGGAGCAGCAAATCACCCATCTTGTAGAAATTAATTAATTAAATCACCCATTTTGCAGTAATCGATTAATTAAAGGAACAGTGAATTACCCAAGTTCTAGTCTATCAGGCGACCAATTAATAAATTTGTTGCCGGCACTCGGCAAATGGGCAGGTATATATTTTAGGAGCCGGATATGTTTAGTAAAGCATTAAAACTAAAAGTTTTGAACTTCAAATTTAAATTTATGACTACCGCAGACGAACTTTGTATCAATCAATTCACAACTGATCACTACAACCCACGAAATATTCACGAGGGGAGAGCTGTTATAATACATAACAGCCCTATTGCACAGCTCTCAGACTGCTACACACATAATATATACGAAATGATAACACATTCGAATTTGAACATGTTATACGGCAGAAAACAATAAAGGGCCGGTCTATAATTACCGTTGGGAAACAACTAGTGTAACAACAATTATATCACAATAATAACCTGTGGCGCCACTGAACGGGTTTTGTTTGTGTAATTGCAAGGTATACTACCCCATGAAAACTTTAGTTGCAACGATCTGACAATGATAATATAATCTTCCTTATAACCGATAATCGATTATAAATAGGAACATCTGTGAGACAAGAATCGCCACCCACAAATCAGTAAAATTCGCAGGGTGGCAATCAATCCTTTGTGTCCAGAACATAACCATGCGAAGGACCGAAATGTCTAAAAAGTCCCCCAAATCCACTGTCCGTTATCCTGAGTCTCGTGTTCCTGTACTCCCGTTCAGCAGCGTCCACACATCACTGCAGCAGGTCTACATCATCAGCATAGTTTTCCGGGTTCTCAATGTCTGACAGGACTGTCTTGACAGAGCTGGGAGACACGGTGGTCCTCTCGTGGATCACACTACCGGTTAACTTCCTTTTCTTCAGATCAGCTAGAGATGGTGGGAGGAACTTAGCGGAGGGAGTGGCAGCCAGGACCGCTATGTTGGCAGCGTAGAAGGAGGGAAGTTGACGTCTTGTCTCCGGAAGTTGGTGTAGAGGGTTAGCTAAGGTTGGTGCTCTGTTCTCCATGCTCCTCAGCTGCAGCCTTTGTTGCAGTTCTGACACCTCGTCGTCTCGCTCCTTCATCAGCTTCTTCATTTCGTCATCGAACGCTTTTTCCCTTCTATACCTTCCGAACAAAATAGCAAGAATCAGACCTCCGATCAGCAAGAAAGCGACCAAGACAGCGATTCCGATAATAGCGTTCATGGACATTCTAGAAGAAATAGCAGTAACAGTTAACTTCATTTCGTCATGTTTAGGAAGTAGACCTCCCGCAGCCACGTTACTAGCAGTTCCCCTGTAAATACCCCCTGTTGCCAACGTCACCTCGTTAATCACAAAGTAGCTCATGTTAGTGACTGAACCAAACTCCGCATCAAGTTCTATGAGCGCGCCATCAGTTTCGTTAATCTTGGTATATGTGACTATCGGCATTGGAACACCACTGACCCCGCAGATTATGGTGGCAGGTTTACCCTCTTGCACAATCGAGTTCAAACATTGGATTCTGGAGGAGGTTGGATAAGCCACAACTAGCTCAGCGGTGGTGTTAACAATGTACGTCTCTCCTTTCACCACGTGCGATGCTTGGCAGGTGAAGGTTCCAGAATCCTCGAACAGTCCCCCTTCCACCACCAAGTAGCCTACAGTTTCAAACATGCTCCTCTCGTACTCGATCTTAAAACCTGCATCTCGGGGGAAGACTCCCTCCACCACCTTGTTCCCACCTTTGAACCAGTCAATGTTAGGTCTAGGGGTCCCCTTTGCAGTGCAGGCGATGCTGATGGTGCTGCCCACCAGACCCCACCCCTCTTTCTCAGCTGAAATCGTCAGGGCCTGTCTCTCGTCCGCAACAAACACATTCTTAGTAAACACCTGTAGTGCGAGGAGTTGATTGGTTGGGTGAACAGTTAAATTTAGGTGCTGGATTGTGCCAAACCACGTATCAAAATACGGGGGAAAATAATTTCAATGATGAGTTTATAATTGAGTTTATAATCTTTCTTTATAACATTGAGTTTATAAAATCAAATAAGGTACAGTAAAAACCCGATTTACCGCGGAGTTTGAGGGGAAAGGAATTGGCCGTGCTAAATCGGGTTCTCATTAAATCGGGGTTTTGATTGTTCAATTTTACATTATGTATACCAAGCCACATTTAGGGAAATAAACTGGCGGCAGTAAATCGGAATTTGCGGTAAACAGTGGTACTACAGTAAAGCACCTGGTACTCAGCCTGATTGAAGCAGGAGCAGGAGTAGGTCCCACTCTCGTTATCCGACACTGATATGATCTTTACCTCTCCTGTGTTTTTACCGTTCACTGTGCTGGACACTTGAGTTTTCGTCGAGTTTACGAGTAGCTGTCCGTTCCTGAACCACTGGGTACCTATTGGAGTCTTTTTTAAATATCATTAACTCGTAGTTGCTTCAATTGAATGTTTGGCGAACAATTTGTTTGAAGTTTGAACCGGAATACTGTGCTCACAGATCATAACGCAACACAATATTTTGATAAAAGTTTAAGCTGAATGTTAGAAAACAATAGTTTGAACGGCGAAAAGGAAAGTGAACGGTATAATAATAAAAGGAAAAAGAACCGAAAAGTTCAATGGTACCTGGTGTACTGGTGTCGAACATAATCCAGTCCGGTCGGGAACCGTCACACCCACAATTAAGATCCAAATCCTCTCCTGACAAAAATACAGTCAGTAAACTTCAAACCATCAGGGACGAAAAATGTCCTCTTTTTAAAAAGAGACGTCAAAAATGCTAAATTCATAGTATATAGGTTCTATTCCAAATTTCTAGAATCGTTCGTAATAAGGTTGAAATACCAAAAAAGCACACATCAATGAACATTAACCTTGTACAGTCGCCGAGTCGTAAACATCACCAGTGGCCACAATCCCCTCGATGACCTCCAGGTTCACGTTGTTGGATCCCTGAACCACCCCTGATATCTTGAAGAATACCAAATAGGTCCCTTTGTCCCCTTTGTCCAGGTTACTTATCACTAAGGATCTTCCGTAGTCTTCTTTTCTTATTCTGGGTAATCAAGATGGTGTTGTGAGAATTGGTTGCTTTGATTGGTCGGGCGTTATCTTTAAATTGTTGACCAATAATATCAATTTCAATTTGATGAAAAATGTTCAATGGTCAAGAGCATATAATTCCATTCATTTACTTCGAATCGAATTAAAAGATTTTATTTATTTATTATTTCAACGGCTGGCATCTGCCGATAACAGTTTTTAAAACAATTGTGATCGTTATAATTGATACATATTGATTAATTTCGCGTCCTTTAAGGAATTGATTTCCGATCATTAAAGTCCAAGTACTGATTTTTTTCTGAGGGTCGTAAGTGATCGGCGAAAAAGGGTCATAAAACGTGAGGCAAGATTTTATTGCAATTTTACCCCAGGACCTCAAGCTTTAAGTTATGTGTTTATAAAAACTAAGACCCTATCAATAATATGGTGAAGTGAAAAGCTGTCCGTGGTTATACCAGTATTACTTTTAAAGTAATACGGGTATAGGCCACTATGACGGAAGTCACGAAGACGTAGGACATTTATGAGTTGTAAATTTAGAATGTGGTGATTTTAATAAAACACGAATATTTCAAACGAATAAAGATCGGATATCGATTCGTTAGATGACGCAAAATCGAATATCAATCAATTGTGATCAAATTTGGGAGTCAATTGTGAGTACAACTTAGTTGTGACCTTCTGTTGCGGAAACTTGATAGGCCTCTGCTTTTCAACTTTCATCCAACTCTGAAAACATGGTACACAAAGTGGACAACTGGTTACAAACCACACTATAACCGTACCTGTCGTTATCTACGAGAGCTTCACCGTTCAGCTCCCACGAGTAGTCAGCTGAAGGCTTGCTAGCCACTCCTGCGTAGAGTGTTATTGTGGATCCCTCGTTTCCTTGTACCTGCACGGACATTTGCCATCAGTCATCATCTCATTGTTTAGTATTTGACTGCGTGCTGCAGTTTGGATTTGAATAGATGGTACAGCAGAATGCTTTTGATTTCTTTGGAGTTGTTGATTAGCCCTAGTCAGAGATTCAATTATATTGAAGAGAGAATAACTAAAATTGCTTTTTCTTCTGCAAATTTCACAACATAGCTTTGTGACATCAAATACTACTAGTATTGTACTTTCTGAAACTAATCCTGTTTTGTAAATCTGTGTCAAACTGAACCACCCTTTTGACTGTGACCATCTAAAATCTACATATTATATTTTAATGTCCGTTCACACCATGTCCGGTCAAATAACGTCCGATAAGGTATCAATATTGAAACATGGCATATGACTACAAATGCTTCTGAGTGTAGGAATGTAATTTTTCTTACCTTGTAGTTACCCACAACCTCTTGGGGTGGCCAATCTCCTTTCGTCTCAGCAGTAGGCTTAATCTCGATAGTAGCAAAGTTTGACACTTTTGGTTCGTCAGATCCAGGATTGGAGACCTGGCAGTGGTACTTGCCAGAGTCGGCCACGTTTAGATCGTAGATTACTAAGTTAGCAGCTTGTCCGATTTCATTCCTGGGTAAGTTTGGGGTTTGCTTTATAGCATTATTTTTTACATAGTATGTATTAATATTAGCATTGAGCTCCAAATAATTTCAGCTGCTACTCCTTGATAACCCAAAATACTATCAATACCAAGTTACATACTGACCTTTTCAAAATAACTGTCGTGTCCTCTTCAGTTGGGAATGCCTTCTCGTGTTTGAACCACTGTACCGTCGGGTAAGGGAAACTATCAGGCACCTGAAAAGTTTTTCATTTGCTTACTTGAGGGAAGTTATGGAACATTTTAAGGTTTGCATTTGTTAAATCTAAAATCGCTACCATGTGTTCAAATCCAATGTATAACCAAACTTATGCCGAGCGATGGCTCATTTTTAATGATGTACACCTTACACTTTCATTGTTTTAACCTTGCACTGAAGTTCCACAGACAGTGCCATGTCAGTGTATATTTTGTCCACCGGTCCACCGTCCTCCGCGAAGTCTTTCAGGTATGCCGCTGTCAGGTAAGCTCCACGACTAGTCGTTTGGAAGGAACCAGACCTCACCACGCAGACGTAAAACCAAGACTCCTGTCATGGGAATCTTCATTACAGGTTAAGTTCGGGAAACGGGAAACTACATGCTTATAAATTATCAGGTTTCTCCCCAGAATAGCTCCCCCTTCGTGATGAAGTATTTCAAAATATTAGAGCAGAAACCTTAGCTTTCTGAGCCTGCTATAAAGAATCCAGTGATACCTTACTAATATTAAATTCTTGTCATAGACCGGTTTACTTTATCATCGTGCTTTTGTTGACCGCGTAAATATATTGTTATATATAGTAGTGCTGAAAGTATTATAACTCAATAGTTAGTTACAGTATTAGTTAAATGTTTCGTTGAAAGGGGCGAAGCTTAGTATTAGTAATTTTGCGCCCCATTTAAAGTTAAATTATTGCAGAGCGAGGGTCTTCGATTAGGAGTGATGACTTATAACAGCCCCTCGCTGTTCCTTTTCACACTTCGTACTTCGTAGTAATTAAGTAATTAACAATTACTTAATAACTGACTAATTAAACACTCACCTGGGCATCATACTCCACATAAACACCCTCAGAACCAGTAGAGTCTGTGTCAAGATGCTCAAAAACAGGGTTCAGGGAGTCTAGCGTCTTTATCCGCCTCCAGGAGTATGTGATACTCAGATCCGAACTGGTTGTAGCTTCGCAAGTAAAGTCAAACCTGCTCCCTGGAATAGTTAGTCTTATTGATCATGTCTAAACTATCTTTACGAATAAAATCAAGAAGCTGGTTCCCTGTTTTGGTATCAAATTAAGTTTATCCGGATATATTTGATAAATATAAACAAAAGTCCCCGCAATCTCTTATAATCGTTAAAGCCAAAATGAAATTGTACGGACCTATAGAAACAGTGCCTCCCTCAGGGTGCCTTGTTATCTTGAGTGAGGGAATGTCAGTGAACTCACACTGCACTGAACCCACAAGTACAGCCACCAATAACACTAGCTCGTACCTGTAAAACCCGGGCTTATATTATGATACTAAAAATGTGCAGGTCTGATTACACAAATTCTAGTTTGAAGAGTCTGTTTTAGCAGTTTGTAGACCGTTTGCACTACAGCCTACTGAAGTTTTTGAAAGTTTCAGGATGGAACTCTTCGTTGTAAAAGCTTCGAAGTACGTAATGAAGAAAATTTAAGATTCTCGAAAGTTCAAGAAATCATGTTATCTTCAGGCGTAAAATTCCCGAAGTGACAGAGTAACATGTGAATTGTGAACGTTTCTAACTAAGTCTCTGGTATAGTCAGGCTTTCTGTACTAAACTAGACCGCAGATCACGCCCATACCGTGATATATCACAACGATCAGTACACATATTCTATCTGTAAAGTAGTTACCTTGACATAGCGTAACGATCAACAATTGCAAATGTGCTTCTCTAACAAGCATATCTGAGTTGCAGAGCAATATGGTCACGTGGTCATAACACGTGTCTTTCTCATGCAAGCAATCTACATACTGCAGAGATATTTAACGACGATTCATACACTGTTTTCCTTAATATTTTAAGATCTGCCCAATATAATATCATAACTTATAAAAACTGAGGATTCATACTCAGTTTTCCTCAGATCGTAGCATTTTAAGATCTGCCCAATATCATAACACGCTTGGCCGTATAATTATAAACGTCCATGACCATAATTCGCTCAAACCTTATCTTGCGACTAACCAAAATGTAATCTTCATAAATTAAAGGTTTATATACTTATATACAGGATATATCCAAGTCGTATTACGGTTTTATGTTACCGGCAGAGTTTATGCAAAAAATTCACATAAAATTCTAATATTTCTATATCATGATAAATATAAAATAACATTTGTATCTAATCGTTTGTATTTTTCAATTCTTTTTCTCCAAATCTATCCTTATTCTCCGAGATCTTCGAAACCTTAAAAATGATAAACGATAACTATTAGGACTGTAAACCTTTTACCGGTGGCTAAAATTATGATCTTTACTGACTATTATCTTTTTATAAAGTTATAAGTATGTATATATATTACATATTATATATTATTATATGTTGGAGAAAGTTTAAACTGCTTTCTTTGATCCTTGCTGTGGTTATTGAAGCGCTTCAATGATCATTATAATGGGTTAAAAATACCAATATCAAAAATAACGATATTTGACTAATTTATGGGCCAAAATCGATCAAATTAGGTGCGTATGCACTCCGTTATTTTTTGTCCAATCTTGATGACATTTCATATACGAGTTCAGGGGACTATTAGCTACAAGTAGAGCACCTTAAATCTGGGTATTACGCATGTTCAGGGTATTTGGCTAAATTAGGCCTAATTTGGACCAAATATGGGCGTGGCTGCCCCGCGGGCACCGTTTGGCGGTTGGGGTCCGGGACCCCCTCAAAAGTTCGGTCACCGGCGCGGTTCTAGTTTGTTGGTCAACTGCTATCTCGAAACCAAGTTTCGCAAAAAAAATCCACCCCCCCCCCCCCCCCCCCCCCCCCCCCCCCCTTAACTTGGGTACAATTATTAGACTGGAATCTGATTTACGTTTAGGTTTTATTCTCTCCTAATCAGTGCACAGGAGTGGCTTCCTGGGGTTTCACCTCAGACTCCAGCTCTGGGACTAATCACATAGAATATAAATAAAGCACGGAGTGATAGAATTATCCTTGAAATGGGGCTTCTGGTGGAGCACTGTGTGTCGTGTATGTGCCATTGTCCAGGTTCAATGGCTTCACATGTTATGAAGTATAAACTATGTACCAAAGTAAAAATGGTTTTAAAAATACATCTTACTATATATATTATATAAAGCGAGACGATAGTTTTCCGTGCCATTTTACTGACACCACGGCATCAACTTTAACGCGACTTTCCGCAAAAACCGTAAAAGATATACAACAGCGATCGCGTCTGTATTCTGTATCTGTAACTAAACAAAGTTATATAATAATAGTTAATAGTACTATGTACAGTATGCACTGAAGGGGTATCCTAGGAAGTTTCTTGCACTTTTATCAGGTATACCCTTCCTCATTTAACTGGGGTTCGAAAACTGGACCTTCTGCGCAGAAGGCAGATGCTCTAACCACTTACCACTAGGCCACCTAACCCCTAAGGCTATAGCTATTATAGCTATTTTTTTGTTAAATTACTACCAAATCCAAATATAGCCAAATTGGTAAGATTTGTTTAAAAGCTGAAGCGTTTGAAGGGGGTCTAGCCTTTGCATATTTTTGTCCATTTAATTATAAGACCCAAGTTAAGTGTAGGAAGTTGATGATATACTTCTCTGTAAAGCCAAAGGAGTATAATTTTGCTTGAAACATGGTTGAATATTATCTGTTGCAATAGTAGGGCAACAGTTTTTAGATTACAGCTGAGGTTATATGGAAATGCCGACAAGAATTTTGTCATGACTAAAACTGACGCTCAGAATTCCAACAGAGGTTAACTTTAAGGCAGTTAAAACTCGGCATTTAGTTTCGGTGGCACTTTAAAGTTTTTACGCAGCCGTTTTAATTGTAAAGATTTTCTTGGTTGATTTGATATTTTCAAGGTAAAACACAGCAAACTAAATTAAGATATCGTGATAGAAAACGGAACGTCAATATTGTGCTTGAACCCAAAACTCATTTTATCAATTTAAATTTTGTATTCATGAATACCAGATGTTTCCAACCTTTTAAGGATATTACTTATAACATGGGGATAACGGTTCTAAAGATCAAAACCCTGCAGAGTCACTTTATGTTACATGATCTTAATAGTATCCATTCAAAATAACTGTAAGTAAGCTCTAAACTTGCAAGTATTTTCAATTTTGACCTCTCGTTAATATTTGTCGTTTTCCCATGTGTTAGGCCATTCCTCCATGCTTCCCGTAAATAATTTGTAGTATTTAACATTCCAATGATTCTCAAATACCTTCTTCATCTGCCACTCTCTACCGTATCTCAGCTTTTCGTAAGCATCGTCGATAACAGTTGTATCATCATTGTTAATGTGCAAATTTAAAACATGGAATTTAGGACACCAGACAACTTTCTTGCTAGCAGCTTTCAATCTCAAGAAAATATCCTGATGTTCGTGTACTTTTAGCTCCTTGCTCCAACCACCAACTTCAAGAATATCTTTAGTCTTTGCCATGAAACTGTTACTGGTCAGATCGCATCGCAAACAATCTGGAAAGAAAGGCAAGCTCTGGTTAGCAATCCTGCAGGATCTCCAATAATGGTTAAGAGTTGGTTTTGATTCGTCACAACCAAATTCCATAAACCCAGGCCAGTCCATCGAGTCGGTTCTCCCACCCACTAAAGATAAGTCAGTTGTATCGAGTAGTTCTACGATTTTAGCGGCGTCCCACGATTCTGTGACCACATTGTCGTCGTCCATGTTTACAAAGTATTTTGTCGTTACCATGTTAACTCCTATCATTCTGCCTTCACTAATTCCAAGATCCCTACTTTCATTTATAACGTAATTTATATTTGGGAATCGGGAAATTTTGGCCACGATATCCGAGGGATGCGGGTTGGGGCCATCATCGATCACTATCATCGGAAGATCCTGATTGAGTACTGTTTTTATTGATTCTGCAAGTCTGATAACCAGGAGAGGTCTCCGTGCTGTCTTCACCACCACAGTTACACATTCAGATAATATTTTGCATCTTTCAACTTGTATCTCAGGTAAGAGCTTAGCCATTGGTGGTCGGTTATTGGATGGTGAATCACAAGACTTATCTCCAGACGGCATTAAAAGCGCTGCTCTGTCACGTAGAAATGCACTTTCCTCAAGGAGATCAATCTGCGATGCATCTTTTTTACATTTTTTAGTCAGAACTATTTTCTTTCCCAACCATATGCCTCCACCTCCTTCGGGAGCAATGCAGAGTACTCCACGACCATCTGCTTGATCATCCCTGTAGATGAGTGTACCTTTTTCTAAGTTCAAACTGATTGCTTGTGTACAATCTAGCAGTGTCAGACTGTCACCAGAGGTAGAGTTGTTGAATCCCGCCAAACCGACACAAAGTGAAAATTCTACAGATCTCAGAAATCCGTTGATGTGGTAGAAAGCTTGTTGTTTAACCGGATTACAAAAAGACAGTGTAAGTCTCTTTAATTTGGAAATGCCAACACACAAGCCTTTGTCGGGAAATTGGAGACGATATTTCAATTTGTGAGAAAAGCTTGCTGATTGCTTTACTTTGTCGCTCGGTGAGACAGTTTTAGAAGTAGTGGCAGTAGTATTAGCTATATTATCGGTTTGGGAAGTGGTAGTGGTAGTTATAGTAATCGCTTTAAACTCATGTTGCTTCCTAATAACAGCCGCTGCCGAATTGTTTGAAACTTCCTTCAAGGCATTCTCTATGACACCTGCGCTACTGTTAGATCCTTCACTTCCTCCCAATGAACGCAACTGATGGGATTGTAGTTCCGACACTGCTTGCACAGAGTCCACATCAGTTGATAAGGACACGTGTGCTCCTTTGTCACGTTGGATAAGACTTTGGCAAAATAAAAATACGAGAAAAGACAAATAGGTTACGATAAGTATGTATCCAAGTTTTGAACTAAGATTATGGCATCCACGTTCCATATTAGCAACGTCAAATATCACAATCACTGAAAACACAATTTCGTAATGGTTAATGCTATGTAATTTTATTGTTCAAATAAGTGCACCACCTCCGGTGGGGACGGTATAATAAATAATGTACACATAATAATTAATAAATAATACCACATGGAATTGGAGAACAAGCATGTCATCGACAGTGAGTCCCTACTGATATCATGAGAATAACTCTACCATTAATCACGGTCAACAATTTTCTGGATATTCTCTGATGGTTAAAGATCAAACAGCAGATGAGATGTGATCGCTAAATTAAAGTTTAAGTAATATATCAATTTAGTTATGTACTATGATGTCGGTCCGTTAGTAGTGGGCACAGAATTCCATCGTCCATCAGTCAATTTCTGCATTTACCATTAAACTGCTTTCTTTGATCCTTGCTGTGGTTATTGAAGCGCTTCAATGATCATTATAATGGGTTAAAAATACCAATATCAAAAATAACGATATTTGACTAATTTATGGGCCAAAATCGATCAAATTAGGTGCGTATGCCCAAATATGGGCATATAGTTTTTAGCTGATAACTCCGTTATTTTTTGTCCAATCTTGATGACATTTCATATACGAGTTCAGGGGACTACTAGCTACAAGTAGAGCACCTTAAATCTGGGTTTTACGCATGTTCAGGGTATTTGGCTAAATTAGGCCTAATTTGGACCAAATATGGGCGTGGCTGCCCCGCGGGCACCGTTTGGCGGTTGGGGTCCGGGACCCCCTCAAAAGTTCGGTCACCGGCGCGGTTCTAGTTTGTTGGTCAACTGCTATCTCGAAACCAAGTTTCGCAAAAAAAATCCACCCCCCCCCCCCCCCCCCCCCCCCCCTTAACTTGGGTACAATTATTAGACTGGAATCTGATTTACGTTTAGGTTTTATTCTCTCCTAATCAGTGTACAGGAGTGGCTTCCTGGGGTTACACCTCAGACTCCAGCTCTGGGACTAATCACATAGAATCTTACTATATATAAAGCGAGACGATATATATATAGCACGGAAACAATGAAACTGGTCACACATCTAACCAACAAACTCGGAGACTCGGTGATTAAATTGGAGCTCCTCGCAAACAATCTCCCCCTGAGTAACTCCGCCCGAGAAAGAAAAAACGACCTTGTTGCATTCTGCAAAAGCCAACACGGGTGTCATGTAACAACTCGACTCGTTTTTGACCGTCTAGACGAGAAACTACATGGGAACTTACTCTATGACAATACTATCCAGTCACAGAACACCGAATCTCCCGTAAATGAGCCAAATTCCGATAATCTTGCTGACCACACAACGCCAGATGGACACCCGGCCAGCAGCCCGGATACTAAACCCCACTCCACACCATCCCAGATGCAATCTTTTACTGAGAGCTCGAAAAGTAAAAAGTTGAAGAGCAAAAAGAAGAAAAAGCGGGATAAAGACTCTACTGGTTCAGGCGATGCTAGGATCCCTCTACAAATTGATGAGCAAATCACTCATGATAACAATGATGAAAACAGACAAAACCTGGGTGCTAACCCCGAGGACCACCTGACACAGTCCAGTTGCAATAACTGCTCAGAGCTGAAACGGTCCATGTCGGTGCTTCAGGATAGCTTGCTTGAACTCAAAGATGAGATGCTACAACAAAAAGCAATCTCTGACCTCATTATATCATCGCCAACCACATCGGATAAAAGCATGTCAATTGCCATTAAAAACAAATTAGGCCCAATTGACACCAAACTGAATGGAATTAGGGATGATCTTGAGAAACTTCGAGCAGCAGTAGATGAGCAGAACATGATATTAGAGAAATTGACCAACTCCAAAGCCCAGTTGTCAGATAAACTAAACACTATGCAAAGTTTCACTCTTAAAGATATGAAAAAAACCAATTCTGCAAACAAAATGAGAATCGAGACCCTTGAAATTGGCCATGAAAACTTAACAAAAGCCACAAAGGCAATTGCCAAGTCTACTCTCAACCAAACACACGAGTCAATTTTAGAATTGAAACATGAGCTTCGCCCTACCGTCGAGGCGAATGAAACCACAAGTGCCTCAAATAGGACGAGGATAGAGGTTCTCGAGTTAAATGTAGAGGAGACATTACAAGCACTGAGTAGCAGCAACCAATCCTTAGCTGACATCAAAGTAACTGCCCATAGTCCTCCTACAACCAACTCCAGGCCAACACTCAGCCATGGCAAACCGAGTACGCTTTGTGACAGCCCAACTAATGCCACAGTGGGTACGCCTCAGACAACAGCCCTGTTATGGTCAGAGGTTGCTAAAAAAGACGACAACAAAAGATTCACCGTAGCAAACAAGCATAACACCAAGAATCACCGTGAACAGGACAGACTTGGTAACAATGGCCATCGCAACCATGTACTGCTGCGGGAGAACAACAGCAATACAAGCTCCTCCATCAATGACAGGAAAAGCTACAGGCGACACACGGTACTCCTGATCCACGATGAGAACTTTGATGAGTTCGATCCAAGACGCTTTAACAGTCAGTTCAATGTTCACTGCTTTAAAGCAACTATACTAGCTACTCTGACTTGGGAAAGAACTCAAAACAACTTAACAAAACCTTAAAGCGACTCAAACCAGAGTGCATATATATCCATATATATATCCACACGGGGATTAATGACTTTCTCTACAAGAAAACGGGTCTTGTAGGCCACAGCTTAACACCACAGCAGCACAGATATGCTTCTCAGCGCTGATACCCTCCTCTAATGACTCTTATATCAATGACAGGTTACGTATCATCAACGAGGAGATCAGAAACCATATAACTTGGCTCCACAACCACAAGCCGGAAGTCAAAGATAGGATCTTCACCTTCACAAATGAGAAGATTGGCGACCAAAGCACTTATTCGCCCAGCACAGGCTTCAAACTCAGTCAGAGAGGCCAAAACATGCTTTGGCTTCGCCTCAGGGAAGGTCTGAGGAAGACATTACGCCTCCCCCGATTAAGTTACCACGAGGGCAACAAAGCAAGACGCAGCACTAACAGGTATAGCGATGACTAAATCTACATCAAAGAGGTCCCGGCACTCCCTTAGGTTCCTGTGTTGGAACATCAACCACTCTCGGGACAAAACTGAAGGACCTAAAGTCGACATACCCGAAATCCAAGATCTCTTCAAAAGCCACGATATCTTTGCACTGCAAGAAACTAAAGGGGAGATTAACTTTAGTAACTACTGCTGCTTTAACTCAAATCGAAAGGGGTCAAATTCTGGTGGTGTCTGTATTGGAGTC